TTGCAGTTCAAACCTGATGTTGACTCACTTATATACATTCTTGTTTTATTCTGAACCCATCAAAACACTGTTTCAGTTGAGATTTTGTTTTTGTTTTTGTTTTGATACAGAGTCTCAAGCTGTTGCACTGGGTAGAGTGCCCTGGCATTAAAATAGCTCACAGCAACCTCGAACTCTTGGGCTCAAATGATCCTCTCACCTCAGTTTTTCTATTTTTAGTATAGAGATGGGGTCTCACTTTTGTTCAGGCTGGTCTGGAGCTCAAGCTGTCCACCTGCCTTGGCCTCCCAGATTGCTAAGTTTACAGGCGTGAGCCATGGCTCCTGGCCTGTTTCAGTTAAGTTTCAACCAAATTTCTCTCTTCCTCCAAGTCCCATAACTCAATCACATCACCTCTTCTGGGTTATGGTTTCCCTTATTGCAATGGGTGAACAAATCTGACTTTGATTTGTCCCTGGTGATTGGGCTAGAATGGGTGGGTGGGCAGGTGAGTAGATATGTAGAATGATAAAGCCAAAGCAGTGGGATAAACAGTTACCAACAAATAAATTCGGGTAAAGAATATTTGTGTGGGTCCAGGCACGTTGGCTCACATCTGTAATCCCAGCACTCTGGGAGCCCAAGGCGGGTGCATCACCTGAGCTCATGAGTTGGAGACCAGCCTGAGCTAGAGTGAATCCTCATCCAGGTGTTGTGGTGGGCACCTGTAATCCCAGCTATTTGGGAGTCTAAGGCAAGCAGATCACTTAAGCCCAAGAGTATGAGGTTGCTGTGAGCTGTGACACCATAGCACTCTATCCAGGGGGACACAGTGAGACTCTGTCTCAAAAAAAAAAAAAAAAGAAAAGAAAAAGAATATGTGTGTGTGTTATAGTGTTTATATTTGTGCAGATTATTAAAAAGTAAATTAGTTCCAGGTAAAAACATTTTGTCTTTGTTTTTTGTTATATTTTAAGAACTAGGTTGGGCTCGGCACTTGTAGCTCAGTGGACAGGGCGCCAGCACATACACGGGACCTGGTGAGTTGGAATGGGTCCAGGCCTGCTAAACAACAATGACAACTACAACAACAACCGAAAAAATAGCCGAGGCAGGGTGGAGGGCGCCTGTAGTCCCAGCTACTTGGGAGGCAGAGGCAAAAGACTCACTTAAGCCCAAGAGTTTGAGGTTGCTGTGAGCTGTGACACCACGACACTCTACCATGGACAACATAGTGAAACTCTGGCTAAAAAGGAACATATTTTATCTAGAGGTTTGTTTTTTTGGGGGGGGGGTGTTTTGTTTTGGGTTTTGTTTTTGTTTTTGTTTTTGGTTTTCTTTTTGAGACAGCATCTCACTTTCTGACCCTGGATAGAATGCTCTGATGTCATAGCTCACAGCAACCTCAAACTCATGGGCTCAAATGATTGTCTTGCCTCAGCCTCCCAAGTTGCTGAGACTACAGGCTCCTGCCACAATGCCCAGCTATTTTTTAGAGACAGGGTCTACTCTAGCTCATGCTGGTCTCAAATTCCTTAGCTCAAGTAATTTACCCTCCTCCGCTTCCCAGAGTGCTAAGATTATGGGAGTGAGCCACCACACCAGGCCTTATGTAGAGTTTTATATTCTAATTCAGTACATACTCAGATGCCCAGTGTTGAGAAATGTTTCTTACTAGTTGCAATGCATACCGATTCTTTCTGTGACTTTATTTCACATATTTATTTATTTATTTTTGTAGAGACAGAGTCTCACTTCATTGCCCTCCGTAGAGTGAGAGCGCTGTGGTGTCACACAGCTCACAGCAACCTCCAACTCTTGGGCTTAGGTGATTTTTTTTGTCTCAGCCTCCCGAGTAGCTGGGACCACAACGCCCGGCTATTTTTTTGTTGCAGTTCACCGGGGCCGGGTTTGAACTCCCCACCCTCGGTATATGGGGCCAGCGCCCTACTCACTGAGCCACAGGCACCACCCTATTTCACATTTTTAAAAAGTTATGATCTACCCATGGAAATCCACTCGTGTTTTGAAAAACCTGACTCAAAGATCGAAGCGCTGATGACAGTGTAGGGAGAATGTTAAAGACCAGGAGGCTTTGGGCTTTCCTACCAGCGGCCACGCGACTGGACTACACTTCCCAAAGTACCTCAAGGCGAGACCACACGAAGGAGGGACGGGGCCTGAGCGCTGATTGGAGAGCGTGGCTCTCTGGCCTCACTGCGAGGGGCGTGGCATTCAGGCTTCGGAGACGAGTAGAAGAACCTCACGTAAAAGGGGGGAGTGGAACTTGAGAGATGACTTTAGTCACTCACTGGAGATTGCAGGAAAACGTGGCTGGGGGCGGGTAAGAAGCCCGCTGCTCGGCCTCCTGGGATTTGTAGTTCTGCAAGCCCCTGCGGACGCTGGTTCTTCCTTCTCGGTTGGATTATCTCCAGCCTCTTGCCCTTCTTTACTACTTCCCTGGGGCCCCTTAACACATCGATCCCAATCAGCTGTTGAGGCTTCCCTTGGCCTATGGCTCTAGCCTCGCAAACCGCAGGTGCTGCTCTTAGAGTCAAGGAAGGAGTATTGGCAATCTCAGTGCCACAGGAGGCCTGAAGTCTTCCTAGAGAGGGTAGTTTTTCCACACGCAGTCTGGAGTCAGGAATCAACACCGAATGCTGCACTTATATAGGTGTGCTGTTCTGGTGCATAAACAGCCCTTGTAGATGCTCTCCACTCCCCATTTTGGACCACTCTGCAAGCCCACAACCTTGTCCCTAGAGTTGGTGTGGTAACCCTAAGCCCTGTACAGGGAGACACACATGAACCAGACAGTGGCACCTAAAGTGATGTGAAAGCTCCAGACCCTGTGGGAAACCAGAAGAGGTGTCTGACCCCAGCCTGGGGGAGGCCAAGGAGAAAAAGCAACAGAGATCTGACTTATTTCACCGCCTCCAGCTTCTCTTACCCAGGCAGTTTCATCCAAAGGGCTCCCATGTGCCAGGAGATGCTGGGGACATGGAGTTGGTCATACCCACTCCTGTCTCCCATCCCCACTCGGGGTGTCCCCTATACTGATCTGGGCTGGGTCAGGAGAGGATCCGGCAGTTTTGAGGCACTAAAGGGGGCCCTAACCCCATAGGATGGGGTGAAAAGTTAGTTGTTTGGAGTGCCATGTTAGCCAATTCTTGGAAGTGGGTGTTCATCCCCATAGAGAAGGGGAGGACAAGGATCTCCGCATGTGCAAATGCACAATATCTGCAGAGAGCCTGCAGAGGGGAAGGTGAGGTTGAATTGCTCAGTAAGGCTCAGATATGGGTATTGGCAAAGACCCCTCTGTGCCTGACACTATTCTAGGAGATGGATATTATTATGCCTGTTGCACATATGGGACACTGAGAAATAGCAGGGTTATTTCTCACTCATGTTTACCCAGTAGGTAAGTGACTGAGGTAGGATTAGAACCTGGATCATCTGACTGCAGAATCCAGGGAGGTAACTACTAAGCTTCCTGCCCACATACTTCCTAGAATAGAAGCTCTGTGAGGGCAGGGGCCCTTCCAGGAAATATTAGGTATTCATCAGTGTTTACCCATCTGCTCTCTGTTTGGCTACGAGATGTCCTGCTGCCCACCTCCACCCTAGGAAAACTGAAGCTTAGAGTGGGAAGAATTTTAAGCAAGGTCTTAAAATTCCCTGATTGAAGTTCCCTGATTGAAGCTCTTCTGATCACAGGCCAGTCATCCCCTCCCTCCAGCCCAATCCTGTACTTCCTATGAGGCTATGAGGCTGAGATATGACTCCTGAGGGAACAAGGGTAAGTGATCTCTTCTCAAGATGATAGGGATGGCTGCTCCTCTCAGGAGGTTCAATGGTGATGCTTTGGGAGGTGGTGCCACAGCTAAGAGAGAAGAAGGGGCAAAGATATAAGGACAGACAAGGTAACATCCCTATTCCTGGGCTCCATGATGCCACCCCCCCCCCAAATAGTGCTGTCCGAAATGCTGAGGCCAGACTGTCCCAACTCCTGGGTGTCTTCAATGCCTCCAGGGAAAAAATAGAAAAACTAGAGAGGGGCTCAGCACCTGTGGCTCAAGTGGCTAAGGTGCCAGCCACATACACCTGAGCTGGCGGATTCAAATCCAGCCTGGGCCCGCCAAACAACAATGATGGCTGCAACAAAAAATGGCCAGACATTGTGGCCGGTGCCTGTAGTCCCAGCTACTTGGGAGGTGGAGGCAGGAGAATCGCTTAAGCCCAGGAGTTGGGAGATTGCTGTGAGCTGTGATGCCACATCACTCTACCCAGGGCAACAGCTTGAGGCTCTGTCTCAAAAAAAAAAATCTAGAGAGGGAGGAAGGTAGCATGTGGCTCATTTCCCAAATGCATATTTCTCTGGCCTTACCTCAACATCCCAAGAGCCATACAAAGTAGGAGGGAGAGCCCTGTGCCCACCTTCAGATGAGGAAACTGACTCAGGCTCATGGTCTCACAGGGAGAAAGTAAAGAACGGAGTATTGGGTTGGAGCATAAGCTTCAAGGTTGGGTAAGTCCTTAAGTCTGTGTCTCCACCTATGGTCCTGGGTGGGGAGGAAAGGAAGTCCCACATCTCAGACCAAGGCCTAATATTACATGAAACGGCACCACCTAAGGAAACAAGTTTGGTACATACTAAACAAAATTAAACAGACTCTTTCTTGCAGGACTTATCAGAGCCCTTAGCTCCTTCATGTTTCCCAGATCTCTTTGACCAGGACCAAAGCCAAGGCATAGAACAATGACTGACTGGCACTGGATCCCAAAGGCCAAGAGATGGGGCACCACAAAGGTTAAAGTGTTTGCAGCGTGTACACGTATGTACTCTGGCCATCAGTGCAAAGGAGCAGATGACCGTATATCCATATGCACATGTTCTCCATCACTCTGATTCTGGGACTAAAATATCCGTAAAAGCAGGACAGGGACCAAAAGGCCAGGATCTGGCCATTCCTAGCTTCCCCAGCGGCATGTTAAAAGGCCAAAATCGCCTCCACTGCCCCTCAAGTCAGATTCCACAAGGCTTTATTAGCACCGGACCTAGCCTAGTGCCCGCCGCTTCAAGGAACCACATGGCCACGGAGGGATTCCGGCCCCAGAGGAGCCCTCCCAGGAGTGCCCAGACGGAGGGTGGGGGACACACGTCCATCCACGGACTCGGAGGAAAGGGTGTTCTCGGAGGGTGGTGGGAGAGGCTGGGACCGGCCCATCTAGAAGGGGAACTCGCAGACGTAGTAAAGGCGCCGCTCACAGTCGTGGTCCCACCAGGAGCCGTCATCCGAAGCCTGCGCCACGCAGTTCTCGAGCGCCCCGCCGTTGGGCTGGTCGGGGCTGAGCGGGTGCGGCGTAGCGCTGGACCGGGCGCCTGGCTCGGGGCGGGGCGCGCGGTGCCAGGCGAAGAAGGACACGCGCTGGCCGTTTTCGAAGAGGTAGAGGCCCTCGGCACGCCGGTCGTGCACGCCCAACCACACCGGCCAGTTGTAGGGAGCGAGCGCCGCGCGCAGGTAGCGAGCGAGCGCTTCCATCTGCTGGCGGTCTGCCGGCTGCGCCAGGCTCCCTCCCCGCGCCGTGCATCGCGCCTGCGCTGAAGCCTGCGCCTCGAAGTCACGCGAGAGCAGGAAACACTTGTGGCCAAGGCGCAGCCCCTTTAGGCAGCCTGAGGGCGGGGCGGGGCGAAAAGGAGGCAGGCTCTTGGCTCTCGGGGGCGGGGAGAAGTAGGGGCCAGGATGCCGCGGGGTAGGAAGGAGGCGGGGTCAGGGCCTCCAAGGGGCGGGCTGGGAGGAGGCGGAGCCAGAGCCGCCCAGAGCAATAAGGCGGAGAATCAGTCCCGCCAGGGTGGGGCCATATTTTGTGGGCGGGGATTTAGGGGGCGTGGCGCGGCTCCAGTGGGGTCCACGCGGCTAGGAGCAAGAGGAGAGCCTCTCCCACATCCCGCCCTGCTTCCTGGATTCACCCTCCCCATGCGCCAATACATCCAGCTTTTCAGGGACGCTCTCTCCCCTGACACTGAGGTTCCTCACCTCGCTTCAGATCTCTCGGGTGTCAGTCCACTCCCCAGTACCCCACGTGGCCCAGATCATCCCATTTTTCCCGCTCCGCGCAGCGTGGACTCACCCTCCAAACGGCCGTGCTCCCGCTCGGCGCTGCGCTGCGCCTCCTGCAGGGCTTGCACGGCATCGCGGGTGTCGCCAGCCGCCTCCCGCAGCTGCCGCAGCCCCCGGGTCAGCTCCACCACACGAGTGTCCAAGGCGTGCAGACGGACATGCAGCTGGTGCAGGCCTGCGTCCAGGCCAGCCAGGCGGCCCACTGCGGACAGACGGGGCTCACGTTAGAGGGGGACCCTGGGAGTTTATTTGGAAGACCCGAGTACCTGGGGGAATCTGGACCTAGGGCTCCTGAGGGCGGGGCTGGGGGAGATCGGGACTCCTGGAAGGTAGGGTGGTCCTGGCTCTTGCGAGGCGACCCCTAGGGATGTGGGGGCTCTGGGCTGGGTGGTGGGCAACTGAAAGGCTACTGATCTGATGATTCATTTTCGTGAAAGTGATCGCGGAGGTCTGGGGGCAGGGTGGGACTTCTGGTTACTCACAGATATAAGTTACGGTGTCCTCAGGAGTGGGAGAGGGGCTGGGGCTGGAGAAGGGGGTTGTTGTTACTTCCTCCTCTTCCTCCCCCTGGTCGTCTTCGGTGTCTCTGATCCCTTCACCTTCAGGGCTTCCAACAGGATTCTCTTCCTCCCTCCCTGCAGGCAATCCCAGGGCTTCCTGCAAATGCTGGGGTTGGGGAGGGGTGATCAGCCCCAACCTGCCTCCCCAGATGCCCCTTGCTGCCCTCTAAACTCACTCTGTGCCCCCCAGTCCTCTCTCTGAATCCATCCCCCCCATCCTCTGAACCTGTCTCATTTCCTCCTTGCCCATTACCCTGGCCCTGAAATACCCTCTCCCAAGCTCCCCAGAGATCTGACAAGCTATAGCTCACCTTCAGCATCAGGGCCTCCCTCTCCTGCTCCTCCTCCAGGGTGCCTCCCCAGCCTCCCTCCCATTCCCTCTCAGCTTCCCGAGCCCCATGGCCAAAGCCCAAGAGCTGGGAGATAACCAAGGCTCCCAAAAACCAGGCTGCATGCATCAGGTTACAGATGTCTTGATGTTTGGGGCAATAGGGTGTTCTCTAGGGACTGGCAAGCACTCCTGCCCTTTGTGTAGATCACTAGCCACCCCCTGGTTCTGGCTTTCCCAGTTTCTTTCTTCCTATCCCTCTCCTCCCAACTCTTGCGTTGGTCCAGTCCACTGGTCTCCTTTGCTCTTCTGAGTGTGTCTCTCCCCGCCCTTCTCTGCTCCCTGGAGGCCCTGCCTTTGTGGCCGGAAACCTCTAACGTTCCAAAGCCTGGATCCCGCCTTGGGTCTTCTCACACACGCCCCTCTTTCCACTTTCCAGAGTTCACTTCCGCCCTGCTCTTTCCTTCTGCCCTGGCCAAAAGCTCAGACGGTTAGGAAGAGAATGAAGCTGACTCTCCAGACAAATCCTCAGCGGGCCCCAGCCTCAACCCAGGAACCAACTTAGGACCAACTGGGCAATGGTGCTGTGTAGAGGCTCAGCCCTGCTCCTCTGCATCACCCCCTCTGCCATTCCTAAGGAGGGGGCAGACTTCAGGGTCTCATTGAGCTTGTTGTTATTTTGTGGCCACTATCACCCACACACCCTGATATAGGATATCTTTCTCCACTCTCAGGTTCCAGGGTGCCTCCTGCCCCCAGATCACCCATCCTACCTTCCAGACCCTTTTTCTGAGATCAGAGTGAGTGTGTGTGCATGTCTGTGGGGACACAGGTGGAAAGCATGTGTGTGTCGTGTACACAGTCCTGAAAGGTGGATCTCCAGGATTCATTAGCCCCACTTTACTAGAAGCTTTCTGCAGGTGGGGCCCTGGGCAGGGTGATGTTGGGGTCTCTAGCTGCTTACAGACCTGCAGCCAAATAGGCCCCCAGGCTGAGGGAGTGGGGCAGAGCCATCAGGGAAGGTTTCTCCAGGGCTGAGTACACAGAGAGCTCTGAGCATTCCAGCTGCCTCATCCCAGCCTGGACCACTGCAGTTGCTGTCTCCCTGCCCTCCCCCTCTTTCCTTCCTCCTGAGCCCCTCCAATCCCCGCTGCTTGCTGCAGCCAGAGTAATTCTTCCAAACCATAAATCAGACCACATCACTCCCCACTCCCCTGTTCCTCCACCTTCCCATCATAAGCAGGAGGGAAGCCAAACCCTGCCCTCAGTCAGCACTGCCTGGCTTAGCTCAGGGCTGGGAGGGAGGAACCCCTCACAGCTCTGCAACCTCATTCCCCTCCTCTCCTCCTGTCCTCCCTGGCCTTTTCTTTGTTCCCTGAATGCTAAGCTCATTGCCCCCTCAGAGCCTTTGCACTAGCAATTTGCTCTTTCTAGAAGGTTCTTCCCCCAGCTTCTTCTCATTATTGAGATCTCAGCTCTAAGAGGCCTTCCCCAACCACTTTTTCTAAAAAAGCTTCTGTTCCGCAAGTTACTTTATCAAAACACCCCATTTTATTCTTTTGATACAATCAAGACTGGCATGATGTTTGGATGTTTGTGTCTTTCCCCTTCCAATGAAGGCAGGGGTTCTTCTGCCCTGGTGCATTCCCAGAGCTAGGACCAGATCTACCTAGCACTTGGTAGGTGCCCAAAACCAATCTTGTGGGAGGAAGTAGCCATTTCTGGTGGGTAATGGCTTCATCAAAGGCCCAGAGGCTTGACCTTTGTGTTCAGGTGGCAGCCTAGTTCCCAGTGTGGAGGTGGTAAAGGGAGGTAGGAAGTGGCTGGAGATAAGGGAAGCAGGAGGCCATGCCATTACCCTCTGTCCCAAGCCCATGAGTCACACAGGGCTTTTCCTTTGGGCTTGGCTGGTTGTGCCAATAAGCATGGAGCTCACCAGCCATGCATCACTGGGTCTGCTCTTCAAATGAGGAAACCAAGGCTCTGAGAGGGGATAGTGTGGCCTGTTGGAGGTCACCTGCGTGGAGGCAGCTAGCCAAGGCTTCTGGCTCTAAGCAAGAGCAGGGCATCTGCCCTTGAATGCCTGATGCCCCAGGAGGGGCCTTGGAAATCAACATATCCAGCCTTCTGTTTTCCAAGAAAGCCTGGTACACAGAGGGCAGAGTGACCTTGGGCAGGCTGCTCACGGCCTCTCAGGTACCCACTGGAGGCTCAGGGGCCCTGCATCAGGGGGTTAGAGACTTTGAGAGATAATGAATAGGTTGGGAAAGGCCTTGTAAACTGTAGAGGGAGGGGTGCACAGCCTCTCTCACTGCTGGCACCCACATAGGCAGCTGTTCTCTCTCCAGGCCCAGCTGCTTACCACCCCAGGCTGGGCAAGCACCTGCTCCAGTTCCTACCAGGGTACCCTGGAGAGCCGGCAGCTGAAGGGGAACCCAGGGACTGCCCAGAACTGCTTTCTATGATGGGCTAGAGGCCCTAGAGGTACCCTTGGAGCTGGGAGAAGGTGAAAGTCTGGACTCAGGGTCCACTAACAGCTGCCCTATGGGATCTGTCTTGTCTCTGTGGATGTTCCTGGGCATGAGTGAGCTGTCTGCATACAGTTGGCCACAGGTGCATATGCACACACACATGGGTAAGCTCTGAGGAGATGGCTGGGGATGTCTGAACAAGGAGATGCAACTATGGGGCGCCCAATAGTGCACAATAGCAGTCTTTGAAGCCAGCCTGCCCTTCCCTATTCCTTGACACCACCTCTTGATAGTTGATTGACCTTGGCCAAATTAACCTCTCTGTGCCCTCTAGAAAATGGGAATAGCAAATGTCCCTGGGCCTGGCACATAAAGGTGCTCAGAAGTGCCAGCGATCACTGAGCACCTTTGTGGGGAGCTCTGGCACAGGGTTGTGCATCTACACAGGTGTGTTCATACTGGTGTGATGGACAGTGAGGCAGGCCCTGTGGTGGGAAGGTATGAACATGCCTCCCTGCAGGGCTGGGTGTCCTCATCAGGGCTGTGAGACGTGAATATGTGTACCTGCCTGCATACTGTGTGTAGCAGGCAAATACTGCACTGTGCTGCATGTATGCCCTGGTGCAGGGGTGTGACATGTACATAGTAGTGTGCCCCCAGGTGCACCGCGTCTGGGTGTGCATACCCTGGAGAGTGTGTATGTGGGAGGATGTCTGCAGGTGCTGTGCCAGCTGGTGACTCTGTGCATCTGTGTCTCAGGAGAATGTGGGCCTGTCCCAGAGGTGTCCATGGGTGCCTTGCTGCTATGCCTAGGTGGAAGGTGCGTGTTGTGTGTTTGGGGGAACAGGACAGGAATCTATAGCCCTCATGAGCCAACATGGGGATGTGCATTCTGACAACAAATATTTCTTGCACCCCACCTAAGTAGAGGTGGGAAGCTCTCTGGGAGGGGGCAGTCCCAGGGTGTGTATGAGGCACCCTTAGAGGGCCTGGACCCCCTCGCTGGGGTATGAGAGCAAGCAGGGGTGGAGTCAGAATTTGGGGACCGGGAGGTGGAGACGAGTCGTGGGGGAGGGAAGGGGTAGGGGGCGGAGTCGGCGGTAGGGGGATGGGCGAGGTTTGGGGGCGCGGGGAGGGGCGATGTCTCTGCCGCCGGCTCCCGGAGGGAGGGGAGAGGGCGGAGGGAGGGGAGGAAGGGAGAAAGGGAGGGAGAGAGAGACAGGGTGAGGGAGAGACAGCCAGAGCGAGAGAGCGAGAAGGGTGGCAGAGGAGGCGCGGAGCGGGCGGCGGCAGCGGCCTGAGGAAGAGGAGGAGGAAGAGCAGGCGGAGACGCGGCGCCCGGAGCCGGCCGGACCCAGCCGGGGGCGGGCGAGGAGGGGCGCGGC